TATATATATATATATATTACTTTGTTATATGATATAAATGTTACGTAAATTATTAGATTTGGCTTAGTGTTATCGATCCAACCTCTAAGTCAATTAAGTCTTTACTTTTGTTTTCCTTCAATTTTTTTTTATATTAATAGTTGTATAATTTTTTTTTAAGTTTTATAACTTGAAAGTTTTGTTTTTGTCTTCTTAAAAATTTATTCTAAAAGTCTCATTTCTAAAAGATATATAACTATAATTAATTTTTTCAAGGTACACTTTTTAAAAAAATATTATTTTTTTATCAAAAGATATTATTATTAATTATAAAAAAGTTTCACTGTAAAATTTACTTTAGACTTATTAATATGTTAGATCAGTCTTAATTATCGAGATAATATAATAATATGTGTAAGACTTGCAATGCGTTCTTCTTCTTTTTCTTTTCCTTTTCCTCACCATTTTTATTTTTTCCTCATTCTCTATTCTCTTGTCCAAATTGTTGAGCTCTCTTGTTGTGTTCTTGTTGCTAAAGGTGCTGAGTAGAGGTATGGGTTGCTAGCTGGAAGCACGAATATTCCTCTTCTTCATCTTTCTCATCTCCCAAAGCTCGAATTCTTCTTCTCCGAGATAAAGGAAGCTAGAAATGTGGAGTAGAAATTTATAGTGTTGCATTGTTGAGTTGATTTCAAGTAGAAACATGTAGGATTATTAAGCATGTTTGAGAAATCGAGTTGGAAAGTTGAGTTTTGGGAAATAGTTGAAAATGTTATGCATTTGTGTTGTTTAAGGTTTGCATGTGGTGTTTTTGATTATTTCTAAGTTGCATGTTGTATTGTGTGTTGAAAATGTATGATTTCTTGTGTTGGGCCTTCTTGCATTGATGATTTTATATGCTTTGAGTGCATTTGCATTTTTGGTTTTGGTGAAAATGGTGAAGAACCTGTGTGTTTCTATCACCAACGGTTGAGCCCTTTGAAAGGGTTGAGTCCTTTGGGGACCACGTGCAAGGGGAGCATTCCCAGGAGGCAAAGGGCTGAGCCGCTCGAAATGACTGAGCAGTTGGTGAAACGACTGAGCCCTTTGGGGGTCGCATGCCAGGGGAGGATTCTTGGAGGCAAATCGTTGAGCCCTTTGGAGGCGCTGAGTGCTTTTATGCTTTCAGAATTTGGCTGTGTAGTCTTCATGAAAGTTGTAGTCTTGGATCTTATCTTTCCAATGGCATTGGAATCACTCCAAAAGGAGGTCTAGAACTCCATATATGACTATTTTAGTGAACAGGGATCAAGTTGTTAGCATTGGTTATAGCTGTTACGATTTTTATAATTTTTAACAAAGTAGATGATAGAATTAGGACTTAATGTCTTCATAAGAGTTGTAAGAAATCTTCTTATCTTTCATATGAGATAAGGATGAGCATGATAGGAGTAGTATAACTCTCGATACGCTATTTTATGTGAAGGTTGTAATTTCACAATGAGTGATTTGGTTAAGTTGATAGTTGTTTTAGGTGTTTAAATTATGAGTTAATCACCTATACACTGCCAGTCAGGATAAATGAGCATTATAATAACAAATAACCAAAGATTATTTCACCTTAAGTTTTTACTTATTTAAATCCCCAAGGTAAACCTCCAACTACAAATTAATTCAAACTTTCATTTTTATGGTCATGGAATAATATTTATCTTTATAAATGTATAAAGAAATAACAACAAGACAAGCTTAAGATATTTTAACACAACTATATTATAGTTAATATTAAAATAAAAATAATTACGTTAAATAAGTTGAGTATTTTTCATTATTTAGAATTTAATAAAATATATTTTACATATAAATGAAATATATTAAAGACACTACAAGAAAAACTGTTATTATCTACGGAATATTATCTATGAAAATTTTTCCGTAGATAACGTTTAATTATCTACGGAATATTATCTACGGAATTTTTTCCATAGATAATTTAATTTTCTACGGAATATTATCTACGGAATTTTTTCCGTAGATAATGTCCAGTTATCTACGGAAATTTCCGTAGATAAGTTATTTACGGAAATTTCTGTAGAT